TGTGTATCACTACGGGCACAGCTATGATATTCTTGATCAGACAAATTCAGCTCTAAGTCTAATGCCATACAAAGCTCACTGGCTAATACTATACAGCTATGCTCTCACTATCACTCTGTATCATACTGTACAGTCCACATGCACAATGGAAGACATTCAGGGGTGAACAAAGCCTTGACACCCTGCTGGGCTTATCTGCTGCATAAGGCAAGTGTAAGTGCCTCTCAGTGTGAGACCTGGTTTCAAGGGATGGATCTGAGGCTGTTTTGACCTCCAACACACACATTCATGCCTGGAGATGCCAGTGACGTCTAAGTGATGTACCAAAATTGCTTACACTGTAGTTTGTAACCAAGGCAATAATGTTAATGTGGAACTTACTAACACTGTATATTTTCTGCTCATTCTGAAGTTTAGACTTTTCAGAAGTCGGTGACATTCTCTTGAATAATCCTAATCAAATTTTGCAATATATCATGATATAGCCATCTTCAAATAGTCTCAGCTTAAATGCTAAGCTGTCAACAAACTGAACACAGTAATGCTTCCTGGATGTACAAATTCACGACCAATGTAAGAAAGTTACAAACACTGCCATGAATTTTCCTCAATCCTTTTGCACAACAGTCAAATGTACAATGCCTTTTGTAATAAACACATACTGTAAAATATGTCATCTTTCAAAATGAAATCTGAGGTCTTTTTAAGAGTCTCAGACAGCTAATATGTTGGAGAAAGGAACAATAATAGATTTTACTGCACTAAGGGAAAAAAAAAGACTAAAAAAATGTTTTAAAAAAATTACTTGGTTTCTCTCACTCCTCTGAAATATGAAGAACAAGTTGGATATGAAGAGTTGTAAATTACAGTGAAATAGGATCATGCTGCACTTTTCCTTTCTCATGGATAAGAACAAGGTACATGGACCTCAAGACCCTTCTGCTAAACACATTATACACAGTAATTTAAAGAGAAGCTCTATGATTAAAACTTTGAATTTAATCTGTCAAATGACTGACAAAAGATTTCAGAACTGCAATAGCAATCACAATTTAGACATCACTGAAGCAAAACAGTCAGAAGATAACTAAGGAGATGAAAATATCACTCCAAAGCCAGACTCAATGTTATGGGGATGTAAGCTTACTCAGAACCAAAAATCTAGGAGTTACCTTCAGTCCTGCTCCTTTTTGAAGGGCTAATTTTGAAAACTCACCTGAAGAGTAATAATATACATAATATTACTATAGAAAATTAATGCCTTAAAAAGATGCTACTTGTCAAAGTGATGTGTATGAATTCTTCATTATGTAAAGTTTGAAAGCCAAAACAATTCTTCAGAAATGAATGTTAACAATTGCGAGTTATTTGGGGTAAAGTCTGGGATGGAGAGGAGCAAACTGAGATTATGACTACAATAAAGAACTTGCATGGATTTATACTTTGTTCTGACACAGAATTACACAGAACTGACAAGGTTATGCTTTGAACTATTGTATAGGGTGAAATCAAGGTCAACTCTCCACAGATTCCTGTTTGGCTGGCTCTATCTACACCAATGAGTTCTTTCAGCACAGTGACAATAATCAGAGATTATTTTTTTCATTTGTCTTTTGCTGTAGTTATACTGGCAGATTTTTGCTGCAAACATAGCTTGTATTTACTACACAAACTTTTCATGGGAAGTCTGCAACATAAACTTCAACACTGTGTAGATATGGAAGATGCATCTTATTTCTCTGTAGCCCAGGTATCAGCATTGGTTACAAGTATTTGCACTGGAAAATGAAATTTTATTTTTCTTCTATTTGTCTATGAAAGTGCAGCAGTATTGGACAGTGATGCACAGCTTGGTGGAACATACCATGGGACACTTAAGAAGAGCTCCTAAAATTACCGATGTACTGATATGATTTGAAAGAGAAACATGAATGCTTTTGTAATGTGCATAAGCATCTCCAATCAATTTGCAAGGCAATTAGTGTCCCTTAATGGCAAACCATGAAAGGAGCGGAGCTGGTAAAACAAAACAAAGAGGAATAAAGATTCCTTTGTTGTTTCTGATTAGTAAAAATGAGTGAACTACTTGATCCAGATTCTGTGCTACAGAGTGTTTGCCTTGGCCTGGCAAATCGTCCTTGAAATGAACTCTGTTAGCCAAGAGCTTGCACTACAGCAATGTTTCTCTGCAATTAGGGATCTCAGTTAGGACAAATTCAATTAGAAAAGAGGATTAAAATTCTGTTGAAGATTTACTTTTGAGAAAGCTTACTTTAGCATTTTTTTTCTGTACACAGTACATATTCCACAGCAATTTTGGAAACAGTATCTTTTAAAAGTTCACATTTGCTGAGCTGGTAGCACTGGATAAGAGCTCACGTTTGTAATGAACAGACAAATTCGTTATTGCCCCAGTCAATAGCTATTGATTTGGTAGAGCATTTCTGTTTATCACAATCAAATCCTTTTTCTTTTTTGTTCAATAGTCAATGACATTGTAATGGAAGGTACTGCTTACAAACTGATGCAGTATATATTAGCAGCAGCTAGAAGTTAATGACTAACAGTTATAAAGAGGAAAGCATGTGCTAAGAACAGCATTACACTTCTATTAATCAAAGTTACTGCATCCAATATGCCTTTATAGGTTAGTGGAACTGTAATGCACATCACTTAAAGAGTTTTTGCTATTATTAATCTCAGTCTTAACACAAAACAACTTTTAATCATGCTGTCATTGCATAAATAATTTGTCTAGGACAAGGTTCTGTCTGACTTTTATAGCATCCCTTTTAGTCATTGGAAACTTCTGTCCCTAGTTTGCTTTTAGAGTCTTAAAATCAGCATTTAGAGAGGTATTGCTTTGCTCCCAGCTAAGGACATGTCATTCTCTAAATACCACAAGTGGAGCAGTATTAAAGCAAAAGACAAGCATAATAGAGTGCATGTGCCCATTGCTCAGCTTGCCTCCTAACTTGTTCTTTGCAGCAAAGAAGTACTGCACAAATTAGTACTTCACATTTTATATAATTTGCACTGCTCAGCTCTTAGGGTGAAATTTGATACCTTGTGTATTCTTTTCACTCTATACTTATTGTTGTATAATTGTTGTTTTAAACCTGCCCTACCTAAACCACATTTGCTTTCAAAGTTTTTCTTTTATATCTGAGAGTTCAATATAACAGTTACATCTTACATCTGTATTGTTATGCTACATCAAAGCAAATACCCCCCCAAAAATAATAGAGTGTGTTGAACCCAGAGAGAAAAACACAACTACTAATGATGACTTCTTGACTTAAGGTTGTCCATACCCATTTTTCCTGTAGAACAGTAACAAACAGGCCAACACTGGAGCATTGATTTATCTGTTTGTTTCTGTTTTCTTAATGCAATTTGCATTTCTCTCTGGACTGATGATGAGGCAGAAAGAAAATTGATAAATGTGGCAGAGATTAAACAACCATGCCATTGCCAAGTACATTATTCTGTAGTCTGTGTGCACCGACTAATTGGATTTAAACAATGTTCATAAATTAAGGCCATTAGAATTTTTCAGAGATGAGACACATTGCTACATTTACCATACAGATTCTGGTCACATGTGTGAAACTAGTGATGGCTGGTGAAATTCTAATTGACGTTATATTTCTCATTTTGAATCAAGGAGCAAAATTCAGTTCAGCTCCTATGTATTTACGCATCCCAACAAAGATATCCAGTGCTGCTCAGTCAGCATTAACTTGTGTTCTTGTTTGCTGTCAGCAGAACAGCTACTGACAGAAGAGCAATGGAGACTAAGCCATATCTTTCCAGAAGCAAGCAACATAATGGATTTTGTTAGTCTAATAACCATGCATTCCTAAACCATAATGAATTTATTCTTGCAATACTGTGTGAAGAAGAACAAATTGATCTTCTTCATCTTAATTTAGAACCAGAGAGAGACAGATTTTCACAAGGTCATCCCTTAACTCTACTGAATTTCCATTCCAGGGACAGGAGTTCAGGAGATACAATTTCCTTTGTGCTCTAGTACGTTGTGTTTTTCAAACATAACTTTAGATACTATAACAAAGTGAAAATAAGAAATAATTGTATTCTTTGTAACTACTGTGAAGGTAAGAGGGCATCATTGTCTTACACACACAAAAATTTCCTCTTGACATGTTCTGCAATGTTTTAAAAGAGAAATATATGAAAGCATTCCAAATCAGCAGACAGGATAGCTGGGTTGAGGCAATGATTAATTACAAGAAGAAAATGTCTTATAAGCTTTAGCATAAAATACAGCAAAAAGTCAGATTTAAAAAAATTACTTGAACGTTAATAAGACCTTCATATAATACTTACGTTTTTCAGTATTTCATAAAAAAATTAAAGCCCAGATAAAAATGCTAGACATCAAAGAAGATTGTTAGCCTTTTGGCAATTGCAGTGACATTTTCAAACATTATTCTGGAATTTTAGTAAATCATTTGAAAGTGTGCAATAAGTTTGAAATAGTTTGCATTTTTATTTCTTTAAAATACAAATTTGATCTCTTCTGGTACCAAAATGAGCAAAATTCAACTGAAGAAAGAGTGAGTGTTTGTGGGAAAGGAAGAATACGGCTGCTAGCTATCTTACAAACACTACTGGTTGAATTGACCTCATTGTCAACTCAGTTACATTTATGGTTTTCTCTACTGAATTCCATTTGCCCACTGGCAAACTCTGCAATGCTGTTTCATATAGAACTGTAACAATTTTATTTGAACGAGGAGGATTTTTAGATAAAAAAATCAAACCAAGCCAAAACAAATAACCAACACATTTCTAATTGGAAACAGATAGGTTGCGTATTTCTCACTGTGCTCTCAAACTATGCAGTACCTGATGTCATTAGGATTTACATATTTTCTGAATATTGCAACCTGTATCAAATGTAGAATTCTTGATATTGATACTAGAAGATACAGAATGGGAAAACCAAGGAAAAGCTATTTATAGTAACTTACTTTTCGTAACAACTCCTTCAAGACGAATTATATTTGGGTGATCAAACTGACCCATTATACTAGCTTCTCTCAGGAAATCTCTTCTTTGCCTGTCCATATAACCACCTTTTAGTGTTTTAATTGCAACAGGTATCTCTCTTTTTCCTGGTGTCTTCAGACGTCCACTGCATACTTCCCCAAATTCACCTTAAGTAAAAAAAAATATTAGGTCATTCACAATGCTTAAGGAACAGTTTGCACTAATGAGCATTAACAACTTATTTTTAAAATTAACCTTCAATAGTTGTCTTAAAAATTGTCCTTTTTAATAGCTCTATGTTATTTGTAGTGATTAATAAAACTAGAACACAAAAATACCCAAGACTTGCACAGCCCATAGAACTAGATACTTCTCTTCTCAATAAAAATAAAGGATAGGATATTCAAGTTCATGAGTGACAACATTCATTGGTGCCACTACCCCGAGATCATGGGGACTGCAACAGTCTAATCATCTGCCCTACAGTGCACAGTTTACCCTGCTTAACTGAGACTTTGAAACTGAACTGTGATATCAAGTCTTTGTGATCTAAATGAGCATGCTATGAGGAAATAATGTAATGATGGTTAGATTTTAATTGTAATGATGACAAAATACCTTTCTGTAGATATTTGAGATGGATGTGGTAGTAACACATCTATGTACAGAAATGCCATAACAATACCAGAATATCTGGCTTTCAGTTGTAGAAAGCATTTAAAAATGTACTTACTGCTATTTTGCCCAGAAAAGCACTTCCATATGATTTATTTAAATGGCTTTATTGTTTACATGAAACTAATCACCTACATCACTGTTTGGACAGCCAAAGGACAACAGTTTCAGCAAATCAGGATTCTTGTGTAGTGAGAGGAAACCCAAAGCTTACTTCAACTGATGTTCTGTGTAAGAAAGGGCCTTTGAAGAAAGCACATCTTGTATTGACTTTACACATTTACTAGTTAAGTTTGTATGGAAGTCACAACTTTACTTTGATCTTGGAGCAACTAGGAAGTTATTTAAATCCCATACCAAATATTCTCTGGATGTCTGCAGGTCAGGTTTCAATGGGTCACAATTCAATAAATCAAAAGCAATGTTTATAAGAATGTGTCAAAGCACTTATCAGTGCAGGGTATTTCCATAGCAAAATCAAATTTGATACCCCAGCCATTTTGGAATCAAAATTGCTGAAACGAAAAAAGAGTCATAAAAAGACCTACATTTATCTGGAGGATATAATTTGTTATAAACTGCATTAAGTGACGTGGGAACTAGTTTTCCTTAAAGGTTAACTACAGAATGAATGAAAATAAGAGAGCTCTATCCTGTACGAGTGTGATTAGATATAAAGCAAATACAGAAGAGAAAGGATTGATTGGAAGTCCCACTTCAGAAAATTATAACTGCCTGATATTATAGGATGAGAATGAATATTGTCACAAAGTCTGTATTTTATTAGGCTCTGTCACCTTCCATTACAAAATAAAACAGGGTTTATTACTCAGTAAGACTCAGGAAGAGTGGAGGGATTTAAAAAAAAAACATCCACTTCATAGCTTGTCTTTTGCTTCAAAACAGAGACATCACAGAAGTGGAAGAGTGTAATTAACAGATGTTGAACATAACCTTTGAATAAATTAGCATATTCTAACAAAAGCCAAATTTCCTAGGTCCTCTTCCTACCTATTTCTTTTGTGTTTATCCAATTTTTGAAAATAAACAAAGTTTGTTTCCTGAAGATATGTTATGTATATGAAAACAATGTCACAAGACGTATGCTCTGGGAATCTTGACAAAAGGGCAAGTTGGGTAGGGAATTTCATAGATATTTATCTCCTTTATCAGTCTGCCTGCATGTGACACTTGAAAAAACAGTAGATAACCTGAACTTCCAAAATCCTACTATAAAACAAAATCATGAATCCTGAATGTTTTGAATGAGACAGAATCATAGAATCACAGAAATAGAAGAATCAATGAGCAGAAATGGAAATAGGAATTTCCTTCTCAACACGAGGAAAACTGCTTTACATGTGAGAGTGACAGAGTGCTGTCACCAGAAAGGTGGTGAAGTCGACTCCTCTGAGATGTTCAAGAGCCTCCTGGGTGCTGTCCTGTGCACCCTGCTGTTGAGAACTGTTTCAGCAGAAGGCTGGACTATATGATCCCCAGAGGTCCCTTCCACCCCTATGATTCTCTGATTTTGTGGAGATAATCAAGACAAATTCTAGCTCTGCAACAGTAAAGGTATTTGTGTATAGTAGAAGTAGAAGCTAAGAGCCAGGTGTCAATGAAGTGACTGTTATTTCTTGCTCCACAGAAAAAGCTGTAGATAACTAGAGAACTAGAGAAAACAATAGAGTTCATTGTCTGCTCAGTTTTAATAGCATGTGTTTTAATGGTATAAAACTGATATGTCTTACTGTAAGACATCCAAAAAGAAGCTAATTGAGCACTCCAGAGACTTGCCTTATGGAAGCCACACATTCCTTTTCTCACCTTGTCATAAAATACATGTTATTTAAAGTGAAACAGGAGTAGTCAGTCTACTTCAAAGCCTTACATGCATTCTTGTATTACTGCATGAGATCAAAACAAATATCTTACAACACATAATCGCTGTTGATAGAACTGAAAGGTTATAGCACCAAATACAGCTCAAGTCATTTCCCATACTTTCAGTCATTAGACCTTTGGGAAAATTGACAGAATAAAGAAAATACAAGGATAAGTGTCGCTTTTAATAGAGTCTTCACAAAGAATGTCTGGGAATTCCTTTTAAGAAGAGTGGCTGAAGCTTTAAACTAAAGTTTAAAAGCAAGAAGTCTGGGGTAAAAAAAAGCATCACTGATAGGACAAAATCAAAGGATGTCATTGCATGTCAGTAGGTGCAATGAGCTCAATACAAAGTGACGCTGAATGGGATAATCTGAACAAAATCTACAGCAAAGAAGGGCAAACTGTGGGAACTGTGGGAATTGGGAACGTAATATTGGGAATATTTAATATTAAAGATAAAAAAAATCTTACCAAGTATTTTGAAACCAAGAATATGCATTATGAAATTAAACAACAGTAAAATTTTGCTGTAAGTAGAGGATGTAATAAAAGGAAATTGACTAATCAACTTCACAATTTAAACAGCAACTATTGCTAGATTGTGGACTTCATTAGCACTTGTTTATTTGGTTGATATCACCATGGGAAATGAAAGCTAAGCGTATTTATAGGTGTTCACTAAGTGTTTACAAAGTACTTAGCTTAGCTAACACTAAATTTACCTCCATTTAGTTAAGTGGAGGGATTTGATTTTAACTTTTTACAATTCCATAATAAGAAACAAGATAATGAGTAAACTTATCTCAGAACACTGCTTGTACTTTGATAGTATTATCCCCAAACAGTTGCAATAGACTATTCAGTAGCAAATAATTTCTGTTTTGCCTTTGGTATTCTAATCTGCTTACTGTTATAAATATTTGATCAAACTGCAAATGCCACTGCTGCTCTTACCCTTCTGTTTGAAACCGGAATATCACCATAAGTTCTTCAAGGACTAACAGAAAAGATCATTAACAACTATTAACCTAGGTGCGCTTTCATTCAATCAGAAGGTCTACAAAATAGCACTTTTGTTTCTCAGGGAATCCAGATGTAAGATAGTAGTGAATGGGATAATGGGGAGACTGACTAGCTGGACAGCTTGAGTATGCATTTAGGTGCACTTTTTGTTACTTTAATGCAGATCTTCATACTCTCCTGTGACAAATGGTGAACAATTTAGAAAGGATTTTGCAAAGCTTGTATTTTAATTGCTTTAGTTACACCAAAGTACCAGAAGGAAGGACAGTAATTTGGAGTTTTGTAAATGTACAGGAATACTGAAGGCATGACAGAAGGGAGGACTGGAATTGAAGTAAAAGGCTCAATTATCTGGCACCATGGAATAAAGTGGTTCTGTTCAATAACATCAGCTTGGTAAATGTCCACTAGGATTACTTGAAAGGAATTTTAGCAAGAGATTATTATTATTTTTTTTTCTCAACATGAGAAGCCTCATGGGCTCAGCAGCATTTTTTAACTTGTTGCTGCTTTGCTCTTTTTATTTTGGCTATTATGTCTGATAGTTGTAGTGGTGAAAAATCTTGTCCTGAGTGTCAAAGCCATCTGCTATGCAACTAGCAAATTGCCAAGGGCTTTTTGGACATGATTTTTTTTTTTCTATTAAAAAAGCAAACTCAAAACTACTTGCAGGAAAAGATAAGTTTCAATTTTTTTTGACCAAAAAATCTATGAAAAAAAATTGAATATTTGCAATGTTTCAATCTGATATTTTGCAAAATAAAACTTTTTAGTTCTTAAATGGAAAAAGTTTCTGTTTCAAAGAATTACAGAAATTCATAATGAAAATTATTAATCAAAATAAGTTGATCAAAAAGCGCTCTTCTAAGAACTATCTTTATTAATTCAATTATTAATTTAAAGGGTTTTATCATTAATATTGATTCATTTGGTAAAAGATTTTATTTTTCATTTCACTAATCTGAAAATTGTAAAAATATTTTAGAAGTAATTCTTCTGGGATGAGAAGACTACTTTAAATATGGCTACAAAGTTTGGTACAGAATCAGAGAAAGCATAAAGGAAGCTTCATGACTGCTGTGAATTACAATAGTACGTTATGTCTCCTAGCAGCTATCCAAGAACTCAGTGAGAATTTGTAGTTTCCCTGTCTTAGAAACAATTTTTAACCTGCATCTTGCCTGCATGGAACTGGGTTTAAATTTCCTTTGAAATAGTTCGCAAGTCTTACCAGGCAAATACCTTTGAAGATGTCAGATTATTCAGTTATTTTATAAGATTAAATATATAAAAATAAAATATGTCAAAGCAGACAAAAAATTCACTCCTGGACATACAACAAGAAGGAGAGAGAAGCTGAATAAGGAATTTTCATAAATGAGTTGAGATTAAGGACACAAGTTTCATCCGAACAAAAATCGATAAGCCCAACCCTCATTTGTCATATTCTCCTTTGAAATCAGCAGCCATTCCAATCCTGAAGGTACTTCACTATGCTTTGTAATCAATATCTATAGTATGTCTGAAGAAAAGGAAGAAATAAAAGAAATCAAATAGAATGTTTTCTGCAAAAGTCAGCCCTCTAAGGGCTCTCTCAAGCTAATAATTCATATGGTGCAAGTGCCAGCTACACATTATCTCTCTTAAACAATCAGGCAGTACTCTTGCTATATGGAATTCAGAGTGAAACAGATTTTTCTCTCTTTCAAGTCAATATGTTCTCTTCTCTGCTTGTTAACAGACCAGGTTTTATGTCCATTACATTATTTGCGTTTATTTTCATGACATTTCCTACGGCATGGAACACCTTTAGCAGCACAGTTTGTAACCAGTGCAGTAATGCACCATTAAATGAGGGACCTCAACTGAAAAATACCTCTCTCTTCTTAAGATATATGAAGCCATGATAAAAAAGAAGAGTTGTAGTGCATTGTGTATTTTGATTATAATTTCCCTGACAATACCAGTTAGCAGTCCTATGGCAGGTTCACTATGAATAAATTACAGAATTACAGACCTTATTTTTTCTTTTTTAACCACTGACACACTTCCACAAGGTGTAACTGAGTTTAGCTGCCTGCTGTACTTCGATTTTTTTTTTTTTTTAATGGCATTACAATTAGAATAAGTAAAAAAGTTTCTTTTAAAAAAGAACAACAACAACAAAAAACAACAGCGTTTTTATGCAGGTATTTATTTAGTAAGTAAAAACCAGTATTGTTAAAGATGGCCAAGAACAGGTAGCTCAAAGATGGACAATGAAATATGGATCATATTAATTCTTACTAGAATCTTTGTAGTTAGTATTGTATCTTTAAGACAGCAATTTACAAAACTCAGTCACTCCTAACAGCATCCTAGTGATGGAAGAATAACCCTATTTTGTAAATTGTAGACAGGCATAGGGTTACTGTATTTCACAAGCAGAAAAGAAGTATCAGAGCTGGAATTGGGGCTCAAATTTCAGTCTGTTGCCGTGCACATCAAAATTACTGATATAGACCCTCAGCTCTCCCACCCTCCCTTCCTGTTGTGGCTCAGTATAGATTAATATTTCTCAGACACTGACAGTGTGCAGACAACAACACTGAGGATGTAAGCAAGACAGAGAACTCCATATTCTCCCGTCAATCTCTTTTGTTTTGATTTGTTCTAACAGCAAGAAATGGTGGTGGACATTCTGAATGATGACCTGTTGGTCAGAAGGCACGCAATGAGATCTACTAGTTTTAGAACCTATCTGAGCCTATACTTTCTAGGTCCTCAAACAACAGAGTAAAACAGACAGTAAACAATCTCAATTGGTCAATAATGACATGCCACATGTCCTAGAGTTTCAGAACACAAGTTAAAAGAAATGATTTTGCAAGTTTTTCTTCTCTGTAAGGAAATCTAGTATCTGCATTAAACATTCCTTTAGGGAGAAAGGAGAGCCCAGTGGGCTGAGTCAGTCACACAGCAAATTCAAATCAAATAAGAATTACTACATTTTCATAGTGTATTAAACTCACATAGCACTGCAGAGGCAGAACGAGAGAGAGGGTCAGAAGAAGGAGTGTAACAGTTCTTAGAGGATAGTTCCATTAGGCGCTTTCCAGAAGCACAAAACCCTCTGACTACTAAGCTCTGAGAGATATATATGGATAACAATTGATTACATATGCCTTCTTATTGTTTCTTTTCTAAACAGAAAAGCACAATAGTACTAATGCTAACTGTACAATATTTTATCTTTCTCATTGTTTTCCAATCTATTTAGAAAGTCTGTCTGTACCAGAACTCCACAAGCTTTTTGAAGAATCTGAGCTGCATGGGAGAATAGGCACACAGAGATGTTTAGCAGCAGCAGTGCAGGAAAACTGCTGATATAACTTTAGATAAGAAGCTGAGTGATGCTTGAGAATAAACTGGTCTATCAATGAAGTATGCCCACATTTGTACTGCACTTGACTACTTGCATTATCATGGTAACTTCAGAAAAACAGTCCTTTCATGCATAGCTTTTGAGTGTATATGCTTTTACCTGCCCCAATAACTCTCTCAATACGAATTCTTGAAGGATCTATCTCCTTTGCAAATTCATGGACAGCAAGAGATGGGTCTTCATATGTGTCTGGATCAATATATGTTTTGATTCCTGGGAAACGTACTGCAAAACAGAGAGAATGCTAAGAGTCAACAATTCTTTGATACTCACGTACTATAACAATATGTGTTTTACTTTTTCTTTTTTTAATATTTATATATATATATAATTCTGAAATTGTCAGAACCTAACAAAGGACGACTCCAAAACCAGCTACTGATTTCACATAAACTGTAGAATACACAGGAGTTATTCCCATTTGCTGAAAGTCTGGAAATACTACAAGAGTTATTCCCATTTGCTGGAAGTCTGGAAATATCAGGTCTTCAAAGACTGAGCATAGACTCACATATTTCTTTTTATTCTTATTTCTCCTTTTAGTGCTTTTTTTTTCTTTTTTTTTTCCCCAAGTGATTCCTGTAAGCCATTATAGTTTACCTTCCGAGGTAACTTCTGCCAATCTGACACAATCAAAAACATTCAAAATTATTGCCTGAAAATGTCACTAATGTTCTGCTGGACTTCGTTGTAATGCCCTAGTATATTCTAGGTGAGTGAAAGCATGGAACTGTTTTCAGGATTGTTGCAATGCATTGTTCTATCAGCCTTCTTTAGCTTGCAATGGTATCAGATAACCAGTGTTAGAGTAAAACCCGGAGAAAATATAGGTAATAGGTTCTCTGAATGCTCTGAATGCCATATATCATTGCTTGCCGGTTAGTATCATGTTTGCTGATTACACAGATGCCACAGGAACAAAAAGTCAAAGGCCTTTAGAAAACTCTTTTTCTGGATTTCAACTTGTAAGATAATGTCAAATTCTGGTGCAGTTTTGTCTTCGTTGCAACTGAACACAAGCACCTCCTGAGAAAAAAAAAATAAATAATAGCCCTATCTAAGTTACTGTTTTAGGTAAGACGAAGTGTTGTGGTTTTTTTTGTTTTTTTTTTCCCCAACCGTAAGTATTCCCTTTCCAATTGCCATTCACTATTTTAGTCTGAAGAAACTCTTTGTTGTCTTTGCACTTAACTCACATCCTGAAGGGATTTTTCAAGTACGGTTGATAAATTGGGAAACTATAACCTTAGAAAATGCAGAGAGCTGCTCACTTAGAAGGGTGTCTACAGAGACACCAAGTGAAGGCTCAAAGATATGAGGAAAAGCAGATCCTCAGGACTGACAGTGATTATTGCCAAGCAGTTTAAATTCCTGTTTGTTACTCCTTGGACAATTTAGACTATCGGTCATTTACTTGGAAAACACAGCTTGCTAATTTACTTCTGTCTTTTACTGGTGGACTGATATATGTTCCTTTTGCCAAACAGGTCCAGTCTTTGAGATTTTCTCCTCTCAGAGTGGGTCCTGGAGGACTGTGCTGCTTTGTTCTATGCTGATCAGTTTGCACAACCAACGAGCCAGGTGCAAGATGAGAACAAAAATACCCAGGTCCATTAACAAAGCTTTAATAATTTCTGTCTGCTTCCTAGGAGATGGCTGCAGCAACAGTAGGTTAGTGCCAGATTGCTTTGGCAGGTTCCAGCAAGCCATCATTTTCTGGCATGTCTAATATCCCTTGTGCTCTTGCGTGTAGCATGTCCAAGAACTTATGTTGTTTCTTTTGGACTATCTGGATGGGATTTTTTTTAGGCTCCTGCCATGTGGTGATTAAATTCTGGAAAACTTTCAATTCATTAACAGACATTGATGTAGATGGTGCATCAACTTCACAGGGTATTGCAGCTGGGTCCAGAGAACCTCTTCAAAAAGAATTAAGTACTTTTTCCTCTTATCACTTAGTGGATGAGTCCAAAGTACTTCATTATCTGATGTGCCTAAATGCATTAGATGACACCTAGTTCAGGGCATACAAATGTGGATGGACTTCATCAAATCACCTGCAGTACTCATTTGAACCAATGCTGATGAGAGGACACATGCTATATTCAAATGTGAAGCACACCAGACATCATGGAATTTCATGTTATCAACTGGATCATGGACCCTTTCCTAACTCCCTTCAAAGGGCATGGTTCCTGAAATCTTCCTCTAAGTCATAAAGATTTCCCAAGGGAGATAGGATGGATAAACAGAAGATGGTTCTCCTCTGTGCGCAGCAGAGGAAACGAAGCATGGATATGACTAAGCTGGTAATAAGAACAGTCAATTTTAACCAGTGTAAGTTTTACAGTAGAATTTCTTTTAAAAAGCTTCAGCCATTTAGGAGAGGTCATATTTATACTGATCCAGGTAGAAACTCTGCAGCCACCTAAACTGTTTCAGGTTAAGATGCTGGATACCAAATCAATAAATAGCCCACAGTCAGGCAAGAATTGCTACTAGCATGAAAATGGCACTTCTGGTGGAGGCACTAATTGCCCCATTGTAAAGGAATGAATATTGTTGGCTACACAGTTTTAGCTACTGGAATAACTCACAGTAGCTCCTCTTTATCCTTTATCCTATGGAGCACGTGATCTGGGAAATGCTCCCTCAAGTCTGATGCTTTGATAAATGCAAAGGAATGAGAGGCCTCATAAGATGAAACTTTGTGTCAGTATGAAATAAGGTCATCATTTGTCCTGGCATGAAAGACACTGAGTGAGGCTTTTCTCAAATTCAGTCATGGCCTCCAGAGGCATATATGAAACTCTGCAGCAGGAAAGTTTTTGTTTGCTGCTCTTTCTGATCAGATTTGGAAACAAATGACAAACAAATCTAAGAAGTATCTTTTTTAGTATAATGTGCCCCTTCTCAATATGGAGTCACACACAAAAAAGATTTTATTTGTTGTGACGTAGCTTTTGTCTTGATCATGACAGTTCTAGAGATGTTTTTAAAAGGAATAAAAAATTAATCAAACTATAATGCCCTTTCTACAAGTTAACAATAAATAAAACTTTTTTTTTTTTTTTTTTAAATTAACTCCAACATAAAACAATGAGACTAGTAATTTAAACTAAGTAGCTAAACTAAGCTAAATAAATTAACACTCTGCCCATGAGAATTTTTCTTTCACAGTGCTGATCAGTAAGAAAGAGAGAGAAGGAAGGCTTATTTGTTGTGTGGCTGGAAGTGTAGATCCCAAAAGACACTAACAGAGAACTGGATACAAATAAGCAACATGGTCACTAGGAGTGGAATTTTGAGGCAGATGATCAACAGTCCAGTGATGAATTCACAAAAATTCACCAGGAAAATTGACAAATATGATTAATAGAACACAAAAGAATCCTTTTGTGAATTCAGTGTGAATTGTTCTAGAGAACATACAAATAAGAACAGTCTTGATAGTGCAGACAATAAGGAACTATGCAAATGGCCAGATTAAAATATCAAGGGCAAAAGACATAGAGAAAACCATGAATGCTTTTCATTTAAAATATAATACATATTTTATGTAACACAGTGTTAAACTACTTACAATTTCCATTTTGTAAATGAGCCCTTCTTTTCTCTTCAGATTTCATTTTGGCCTTTATGTACCACTGGCATCTTTTAAGAAAAGCAAGTGAGGTTTTAATTAAAATGAATATAATGCATAAAATAAATGTACATTAAGTTTTCTCTGCATTTTTATGAAAGCCAAAGTCTTTGCATTCTGCATCCACAGAAATTTAGTATTGACACTAAGGAGAGAAACAAACCTGAAGACCTACAGGCAGATTGGATATCAGTGAAAATAAATCACAGGTGAATGATTAGTAGTGTACACGACTACCAAAGTTTGGTGCAATACTTTATTCCCATGCTTGAAAGACTGTTGATACTTACATTATTTTTCTGCGCCCTTGTTTGCATGCATTGATTCACACAGACCAAATCTTATCCTAATACCTTTTATTCTCAGTGGGTCATAAAGCTTGCAATTTCTTCCTAAGATAGGTTCTTTGAGTTCAACAGGGTTCATGAGAAAATAATTTTTTTGTATCCATTAGGACCGGTATTTTTTCTTCTGTGTAGCTCTGTTCAGCCTGTCAGGCACAGTCTAGCTTTTCTGTGTTCATAATTAAACTTATAAAACAAACTACAATTACAGATAATATTTCTAGTGAAATAGAAACCATAGATATGAGAAATAAGTGAACACATTCACCACATGTCAATGGTTCATTCAAACTACTAAAAAGGACTAGGATCACTCACAAATGCATTCACTGCTGTAGAGATGAACCCTTGAAGAGCAGAAACTTCTTAAGCTATCATACCTGGCAATAAGTTGTACGTACACTAATGTATGGAAACACTAACCACAGTATTTTCAGTTTCTGTGGAAATCTCTACATTGTACACCAGTTGCTGGGACCACTACTTTCCAATTACCAAGAACAACACTGAACACAAAGTGTTACACTTGGAATGTCTGCCAAGAGGAACATTTAAAGGAATAACTCTCTAAACCCTTAAAATTCTCCCTAGTATTCAAAGCCCTAGAATTTGACTGCAAATGCCAGTGAGAACCAGCAGTGGACACTTCCAGTTCCAGCTCCCCATTTCCTACTACTGTTAGCTAGAAAATCACTTGAAAGGAATAATTTGTGTAATGATAAATCACACTTTACTACTGTGTTTTCCTGAATTTAGCCAAGACCCCAGTCTCACTGCCAGCCTTGTACCTTCAAGTCACTATTGCTTTCATTTTTCTACCTGCAGCAGAGAGCCATGTCTCCTGCTTGCTCTTGGTGGATAATCACTCAGTGCAGTGCGGAGGCAGATGCTCATTTAACCCAGCCTCTCCACTATGAATAGACTCATCAGCAGCCTTGTGACTTGATAGCTCATCAAACTGCTAATTCTAAACAGCAAAGAGCACATCTGTAGGATACCAATCCCACTCTTCGTGCTGAAATTTGTCTCCAGTCCTACAGCAAATAGTATTTATTCAAAATTTTCTTGCTCTGTCTTCTGTGCAGTACATTCTTATTTTATTTAAGAAGTACTTCAAAATGAATTCACATCTTACATAATTGAAATGGTTCAATTGGGTAAGATGTTAGAAAGCTAAGAGAATCTCTGATATCTTTAACACTAGCAAACATGAAGAATAAACCTAGAAAGAAACTCATTTCCAGTTTTTTTTCATTCCTGAGTTTACTGAGTATTTTATCAGGGAAAAGTTTGGCTTAGCTTTTAGGAGTTGCGCTCAGTAACTGCAGAGAATTCTCTCTGAAAGTCTGTCTTTGAATAACTCTTCTGTCTGAAATAGACTAATGTTTGTCAATGTTTCTTGTAATTGTACAAATATTTTATAAGCTTCCAAGGTTGAGATTACAGTGTGTTCCAATGTGAGCCACTTCAGTTAAATAAATGTTAGACTTAACCAGATTTATTATTACTCACATAATGCCTGCACTGGTACATCACTTTCTTTCCTAATCAGAGGTAATGGTATACAAAAAACTGAAAAATATTTACAAATCTGAATGCACAGCACTGTCTATTAATATCTATCCAATCTGTAATGACTATTAGCACATTCATAGAAGTAACTTTAACATCTTTCCTCCAAAGGACAGACTCTAGACAGGCCCAAGAATGGTGCAAAACCCCATCCAAACCCCAGATTTATCTGTCCCAAAGCTGAATATGAGGGAAACTCCATCGAGAACCCTCCTCACATGGAGGCTCTTCCACCAGTTTTACGCATATGAAGAAAAGAGAGGCAAAAAGAGTATGAATGGCCCAAAGGCCCCACAGTTCCTCTTACAGAATGTACTGCAGGAGATATGAGCCCAACTCCCTCTGCTTGGCCCCATACTTCTAGGAATTTTTAAGGCTTTTTTGACCCAAGGCAGCACAGTGGTGCCACTAATGTCTTACAGAGGAGGTGTGGACATACTGTCTTATCCTTTTTGTTTCCTGGTAGAAAGAAACAAAATCCTAAAGTCACACACACACATACAAAAAACCAGATGCTCTGTGTCATGTGTAAACTTGAGCTCCAGCAAGTACTGGGATTCTGATCACTACCTGCATTTTTAGCAAGTCCATTAAGAATTTGTGCATTTCATTGAACTTTCTGTGTGCAGTTGAACACAGCATCCAGTCACTCAAAACAGAATGCTTTCTAAACCAATTAGCACAATGTCTTTATTTGATCCTGACTAACATACCAATTGAGGAAAGGTAGACAATTAGCACTGTGCTAAAAGGAAGGAAATGGACTTGTAAGTATAAAAATCACTGACATTATAAAAAAAAATCATTGTCCAGGTCATTGAATTCACTTGTCACAGCGCTGCTGTAAGGTAGATTTACAAGAGTACCTTCAATAAAATGTTAAACAACAAAACAGGATGCTAAATCATCCCAATATTCTAGAGTAAGGTTTTCCTCAGTTTAATTTCATTTCATAATTCTTATGTTCTCTCTAAATAAATGCACAAGTGTATATATCATACACAGATCAGTAAGATATTTTTGCCTATAATATAGCAAAAAAACCCAAAAATTGTCCACCCAGTGTCTTTACCAAACTATACTGCCAGCCCCAAGACATCAGAAATCCTAAGGTTACATTCTCCAAAGCTTTTCAATTTACAGTTAAGAGACTTTATAATAAATATTGTGTCTTGTGTTCTTTTCTTTGTCTTCTAATGTCAGAGATTTGATATCAGTTGCATTGTATTTTAAATTTTGGTCTCCTCCTGCCCATATCAGCAGGAAAGATGGTCAGAAACTTATTAAAAAAATAAAAATAAAAAACAAAACACTGAAGATGTGGCTAAATTGCTTAGCTATTCTTTATAAATTCTTAGGCTTGGATAACACAGACCCTGAGCAAATGGGAACAGTGTAGCTTTAATTACCTCCCAGTGATCAGGAAGAACAAAGTGAGGATGACCAGGAGAGTGAATCCACCAACAGCAGCAGTGGCAATCACGAGAATCTGTCCCTGCTCTGCAGCCATATCAGAAGCTGAAAGAGAGGCACAAAGAAAGAGATTAAAGTTCCAGCACCTGGGATTCATGAAGAATGGGTGACAACATTTAACTAACCAAAAGTTGCAAATACTCTGTAGTAGTTTTTATCCGTGAAGTGAAATACCTTCAGCTGTGTACCAGCTACGAAGAAATGGGGAATACTTTTAAAGGTTTCTAAAATGAGGAGCCAGCACCATCAGGCACTTGCAATGTACTAAGATCTGAGTATGACTGGATTTTGGACATAAAAATAGAACAAATGTATTGCTTTCTTAGCTTAATCTTGCATGTTATTAAAAAATATCTGTGCATCTAACTATCCAAAATGAAGTCAGCAGCAGTGTTACATACGTAAGAAATATAGAGCTGGATTCAGGAGAATCCTAAGCAGAAAAAGCACATGTAACATGTAGCCTGACACACTCTTCTGTGTTTCTAGTATTTAGATTTAATATTATAGATTTATAGTTCTATCTTTAATATGCTTTGAGGATTGGCATCACTGCAATAGAAAAAAATTATTCTTTTATGCTTCAGGTTTTTCTCTGTTATTTTTTGTAGAACATTTAGCAGGTAAAAAAGATCACTTGAAATTGTCTGTAGAGGCTTAAGCTATTATATTTTCTTTATAATATTAAATATTTATGTTGATGAAGTACCTGTTCATAGTCAGGCTGGTCCTCATTGTGCAAGTACTACTCAATAAGTGAACCATATCTTTTGATTTGTGACTTCAGAGTTTTTAATCTTAAAGTAAACACAGTTACACTCCTATTTTTTCATCATATGACATTTACCAAATTCTTATTTTCTTTTTTCTATAAGAGACACAGTATTGTTCTAGAAGAAGAATATATATTTCACAGGATCACAGAATCACAGTTACCTCCAAGAACAGCAGTAAATGTAGAAAAGAAAATAAATTTTAGATTTATTAAGAAAGCAACTTAGACTTTATAAACTTGCCAACAAAATCTTCAGTTTTCTTTGGCCATCAGATGATTACAGCTCCTAGGCTGCTGCAAAAAGAAAGCTCAGCAGGCTGTGTTTTCTCACTTTCCAGTTGATGAAGCCCAATACAATGCACACATCACTGCCTAAAGCCTCATAAAAAGCTGTTTTCAAGAAAAACATTTGTCTTCTAAATAATATTTGTGAGAGGTTTAGAAATTAGCAGTGTAAACTGGCTTTGTAATAAAAGTGAAACAAATAAAGGCAATAGTAATTTATGTCCAATTTTCAGCAAAACCAACTTGTTAAATTTCTGACATTAGATTTCTGCCCATATAATTTAATGGAGATATGCAGAGGCAGTAAATTATAAGGCATTCAGTATCTGTGGTCATAAACTCTCCTTAGACAAGTTAAATGCACACATCTTCCAATAAATTATATATCAAAACCCTTTATCAAATACTCACTAAATAGCTAATCTCCAAAACAGAATCTAGTGATACCACAGGAATGGCTCTGCATTATCTTATGCTTCACAGTGTCAGGTTTAGTTGAAAAAATTCAACATATAATATGGTGCCACAGAAATAAAAATGCAAATATAATAGGCTGTCCAACTCAAACACCGAAAACGATTTCAGACTAGCAAGGGTTATGCTAAATGTTGTAAAGATGGACAGGGTCAGTTTGAAGTTGTAATGGGTGAGGGAGGTTTTCAATGACAACATCTTGCCCAGTTTCCATTTCTATAATGGAAGTGAGAGAACAAACTACAAGCAATTTATTTTTTGTTTGTTTGTTTGTTTGTTTTAAATAGGAAAAGGAGTGCAAAAATAGTGACTTTAGCAAGGGATGCTTTCAGATAAATTAGCTGTGATTTTCTTCAACAGCATTTATTAAAATAAAAAAAAAAAAACTCAGGGTCTTGCTTCAAGATAATTCGAGTTCTAGGTGGAAATGTAGGAACTGATCCTATTGTCTAAAAAGGCCCTGTGCTAGAAACTAAAATGAAAAATGCTGTTGTCCTGAATTGGTCCCGCTGGATGAAGCTGCTTGGAGTTTTAGTTAAAGCTGACTACAAGCTATCAGTTTCATAATATACACATTTTCTATCAGGAATCACAGTCAAGTTCCCCACCGACCTCATTCGTTTTGTGTCTAACTGATATACCTTTAAGCTGAGACTGTATACTCTTAAAAATGTTTGTTCTGTTTCTAGCATATGTATTTCACTGTGTTGGTAGAGACGCCAGAATCCACATGAATATAAAGGGCCTTTCAAGCCTGAAACTTCTTTATGACCTTAATTTGTCAGATAAAAATGTCAACTGACAGATAAGTATAATTGGAAAATGTGGATTTGTTAAAAATTGTCAGAGAAGCAGGTAGGGCAAAATGATAGACATGCTTTTTTTCCTTGAAGAAATCAATGAAGGCACAGTGCAGTAACACATAGATAACTACAAAGGCACATGTATGTGCATACAGCATCCTAGCACACAGGTTCTACAAAACACTCTCCAGGCAAGGAGAATATGTTAATATTAGAAACTCAATAATGACAATTTTTGAACAATTTTTGCTGTCCAAAATGAAATTCTGCATGTCTCTTGATCTTTCTGTTCTTTATCATTTTTCAGTTTCTCTTCTAATTAAGGAAACGTTTGAGTTGTAAATAATAAAGGCTTCAGCAGGTATTGTTTTTGTTGTGCCTATTCTTTACTCTTTTTTTTGTCATTTCCTGCTTTTTTATGTCATTTTTCCTCTCCATCATCTGAGCATATTTATATATGTCCCCGTATTTCTCCTCAAGAGTATTCTTGTTTATGCAAGACAGAAAAACTAAGTTTAAAAAACAATGATGACTGGAAACTCAAGCAAGTTTCCACAACTTATTTTATCTTTTTGTGTGCACATGTCATAGTGCCGCATTTAATCATGGGATCACACAGACATTTTCCCAGGATATTATTCATTAGACATCAGGACCAATCTTAGTATAACTTAAAATCAGTTTCTACTTTCTTTACACTTTGTAGTGCATTATCTCAATCGGCACCTGCTGACTGTGCACAGGGATTCAGAGTTCCGTGATCACAGGGATGAACATGGCTGTATGGTCTACGGGGACATACTCCACTTGACAGTTGTCATGAACAGGCAAGGAGTTGAGAAAGCTCTCGTGGAACAGGAATATGTAAACCACCAGCAGATCCAATGGGAAAATGACTGCCAACTGACTGCCTCTTTCCTTATTTTCCCATTCCTGTTCGCATTTATGACATTACACCTGTCTGCAGTGACATTCCTGCTGCAGTGTAAATTGGGAGGTTGGTTTTGTACACTTCCAGCTGTTCACAGCAGCATTGGAAAGAAAAAGGTTAATGTTTGCTATGGTTCCCTTGCCAGTGTTCCAAGATGCAAAAGGTGGATTTGTCTCCCAGGCATCTGCATGAGATGTCTCATGAGGGAACTTAGTACCTATCCGATTGGCTGTTATGTATAGCATTTTGTTTCATCCCTTCTGCCATCTGCTCAACACATTCATTTTGACAAAAACATATAATTTTAAAAATGAGTGGCATGAGGCAAAGATAAGGGTGGATTTATGAGTTACCCAGCAGATGACTAGATAATACAGTGTAAGGTTTGCGTGTCCGAACTTTTCAGCATAGTATAGGTACCAGTGACAAAAGGTGGTGCACTGATTGTAAAACTACAACACATCATACATACTTCTACACCAAACTGTATTATCCATACAAACTTTACTCACATTACTCTTCATGATTTACTCAGAAGTAGGTCATTTGCTTAAAATGACACTTAAAGTTCCTAACTGCATCACTTCAGATTCCTTGTTCAATAATGTGTCCAGTTTCCTTGCTAAATAAGAAAATTCATTTTTAGATCAGTTCTGATCCTGCAGTTATTCTTTAAATTCAAGCTCTGTCTCAGTTACAACTTCTCACTGGGTTCTTCACCCAAATGTGTAGAGGAGGACCTGAAGTTCCCCTTCTCTCTGGGATGAAGAGAAATGTTTGATGCCTCTTCACTTCCTCTTCTCTTGGAAGACTGTGAGAAATGGTGCATAAATTTTATTCACAGCACAAGACAATAAAAGAAAGAGATCATCTTCAAGTTCTTTTTCCAAAATCTTTTAGAAGGTTGTATATTAAAAGGTCTGGAAGCCCTAATGATAGTTCTCTTCTGTCTCTCAGCTACATGCTTTAGTTATTTCAGTTTGACATCTATCAGGCAGCAGACCTTCCAGCAGTGTGAAAGATAAAGTAGTGACAGAAAGACAGCTTAGATAGATAGTGAGTAGCTGTGAGATAGATAAGTATGGATGGTGAGAACTGGAGCTCTAATAGACAGTAACGGACTGTCAGATGGATTTACAAGGCACTGTAAACAACAGAGCTAAAGAACAATAGGAAAGAAAAATAAAAGGTCTAATAAGGGTTACCTTTACCTTTCCAGAAGTGCTGCAGTTCCTGTGAGCTGATGGCCTCCAGTCTCAGAGGGGATGTGGGAAAAGGAGCAGGCAATGGAACGGCAATCTTAAAAAGGGCTTTTAAAAGTGAAATGAAATACTATTACTAGTATAAGTTTGTATTAATTCTTTGCATAAATTGACTTGAAAAGCTTCTTTTCAAAGTGTTGCCAATAACATTAACTTCCTGACCAGTAGGCGAATGGAAAGCCTGTGATAAAAACCTAAGATCTGAGCAAGGAATTGCTCTTGTTTAGGAAATTAAGACAAAAAGTAAAGACTCTGGAACTTCTGGGAACCAGACAGGGTAAGCTCATATTAGAAGACCAAATGGCTGAAAATATAAAACACAGCAAGGAAACATTTCAAGATTAAAATGAGACACCCTGAGGTATCCAGTGCTGACTACTATTGAACCAACAGCAGGACTAAGCAGACACGGGGATGTCATGCAAGGCAGTTTTTAAATAGGAGATAAGTGCAGTCTCATTTGTTTTTTGGTTTCATTCAGGAATTGGAATTACTATTGTGAAAACATTCAGTGT